GGGAGAGGCCTGGGGTGTTTGGGGGGTGTTGGGGTGTTCGGGAGGGTCTGGGGGCATTTTGGGGTCTTACGGTCTCTTGAAAGGAGGGAGGGAGGTTTTGGGGGACAGTCAGGGTGAGTGAGTGGGCAGTTTGGGTGGAGAAGAATGAGATCCGGGATGAGAATGAGGGGCAGGATATGGAGTTTGGGGATTGCTGAGGCAGATGGGGCAAAGCAGGGTGTGGGGTGAGAGAGCGGGGCCCACACTTGGGGCACAGGAAGCTTGTGGAGGGCAGAGGCGTGAATAACTGTGGCAAGACTCTGGGTTCCTGCCCTGGGAGGTGAAGCCAGCCGCCGTGACCCTTGTCTGTGGGCGTTGGGCTCAAATAAGCCCTCGTTACGAATCCCGGTTTACTTCTGGCTCACCTGTGACACATGCCATTCCTGTGCTCCCGGCCCATGTAAGAGCAGCTGTGACTGTACCGGGAGGACATGCTTGGAGTTTGACGGATGCGTTTGTGTGGTGGGAGCGGAAGTCAGCAGGTGATACGGGGTTTCGGGAAACGGCGTGCGGGAGAAGCACCTCACCAAATGCTTCTGTTGTTGCAGGAGTGCCGGATTGCGCATCCCATCGTTAAATGCACCTACTGCCGGACTGAATTCCAACAGGAAAGGTAAATGCCCACTGAAGCAGGGAGACTAATGTTTGCTTTAGAACGGGGAAGCGTAGTCTTTTCACACCTTTGATGTCTGAGCCCTGTTGTTGCTGTGGAAAACTCGGGGGCCTTTTGCTTTCTTCAGAGGTCTGCTGGGCAAGTCGGTGTATCTCTGCGGCGTCCTCAGATTTGCACCTTCTGCTTGGTTTTTAGTGTTGGTCAGTGCTCAGGAGCATCTTCCAGTGAAGGATGCAGGAGCATTTTTCCATGAGTTTACCTCTTCTCTGATATCTGGTATCCAAAACTTACTTCCTAATGTGTTTCCTTCAGCTGTGCCTTTTTGCGTTGTTGCAAGCTCTGTAGGTTGCAGAGGAGGGCTTGGTAAACCCAGTAGCCGCGTGCGGGCATTGCGTGGGGTGTTCTTTGCTGTGTTTGTTGGACAAACACGCCTCTCTCTCCTGACCTTCCTTAACCTGGTCATCCAGAGCAAACCTCCTCCAGAACTGAGGCTCTCACCAGCGCAGAATCACCCCTGCATCCACTTAGCCGGTGATCACACTCCTGTGTTTGTAAGGGCAAAACACTGGTGTCATCTGGGGACGCTTCAATTAAAAGATACCTCCTAGTAATACCACTTTTTGGCAAATTATCCTCAACCAGAAGGGGATAGGAAGCGCACTTTGATATCTGAGTCCCTACTGGAGATGAATAGTCTCACTGCTGGAGACGGAGCCTAGGGGAGACGGGCTCCTAACCACAGAGGTTTAATTTTCTTTGGGGAAGTGTTAATAGAATGATCTGTCTTCCTTTCTTAACAGCAAAACCAACACCATCTGCAAGAAGTGTGCTCAGAACGTGAAGCTCTACGGAACGGTAAGTGGGGCTGGTTCTCACCGGCCTCTCTTCCTTTCATCTTTCATGTCTTTTTCCTGCAAATGCTGAATCCCAGAGCAGTTTATGGGCTGGCTGTGTTGTAATAGCGTGACTGATCAATAACAGGTCCCTCGAGCGTGAGGCTTTTACCTTTCCTCCTATTTCAGTATGGAAAAGAGCAGCTTTGCATCGTTTTAGGCCAGGAAATGAATTATTCGATATCCAATAGAAAGAAGAGTGTGCTTACACAAACAGAGATTGCTGCAGGAAGCAGTGATACATCTTTCTTTCCTGCTTGTCTGAAATCTGAAAAAGAGATTTGGATTGTTCCTAATTTTGGTGTTAACACATTTTCTAAAGATTTCATAGCACTTGATAAATGACCTGGCTGCTGTGGCTAAATACACTCAGCTAGAGGCCGGGGGTACAAACGGGCTTACATCTCCCGGATCAGCGTTCTGCTTAGCTTGGAATGGGGAAGTAAGTTGTGAAAGGGGAAGATCAGTGTATTAATGTCATTAGAAAGCGCTGCTGTATCAGTTGTTCTTGTTTCTTACAGCCAAAACCCTGCCAGTACTGCAACATAATAGCAGCATTTATTGGAAACAAGTGCCAGCGTTGCACAAACTCAGAGAAGAAGTACGGCCCGCCGCACTCCTGCGAGCAGTGCAAGCAGCAGTGTGCGTTTGACCGGAAGGATGACAGAAAGAAGGTCAGTATCTCCGTAAAAGGAGGCTGAAAAGGTAAAAAGGCTGATCACGGTGATTGTCTGTCTCCTTCATGTGTTCTCTAGCCTTTCAAAAGGAGGTGTCTTTTGGTTGTAAAGGTTTTTTCTGGAGTTGAGCTTTGCTGTGGGAGCTGTGGTTTGGAGCTGTTTGATCTTTGAGCCCCTCTGCTCCTTTGCCAGCTCTGCTGGGAAAGCTCTCTTGAGTTTGGCCTGAGGGTAGGCGGGCTGGCAGAGGAGAAGGGGCCTGCTCCGGGAGAGGGATGGGGAAAGATACCTGTGCCGTAGCCTGAGGAGCTGGAAGTGTCGTAGCTCCGCCAGGAACCCATTTCATGGCTTCTGCGCACCCTTTGCTTGAACAACATAAGTGCTTCTTAGGAGGTGCGTGTTTCTACCAGCTTCCTGCAGGCTACAAACATCCATGGTTTCTGTTAGATGCTGTCCTGACAATCCCTGTCCTGCTGATCCTTCTCCAGCAGAGACCCTTGTTATTTTTGTCTCCAGTGTCTACCCTGTCACGTACTATTCCTTGGCATTGCTTTGGCAGAAATCCCACTGGATTGATGGCTTCTCCTGGTGAATGGGTGCTGTAAGGTTGTCTGTAAGCAAAGCTTGGCAGAGACTAATTACAATAGATTACCTGCTATTAACGAGTGCTGTCTGCACCAGCCAAACCAGATGCAGACCTTACCCATTCCAGGCACTCGCAGGATCCTTTTTGAGTCTCTGCTTGTTCTGAAGTGATCCTAAGCCTGAAGGTGCTTCTTGTCTGCTCTATGGTTTGTGGGCAAGGAAGCAAGACCAAAACTTCTCCCTCTCTCTTTCTTTCTCACCCTCCAGGTGGATGGAAAGCTGCTCTGCTGGTTGTGCACGCTGTCCTACAAACGGGTCCTACAGAAGACCAAAGAGCAATGCAAACACTTGAGCAGCTCTTCCCGGGCCAGCCTGCAGGAGAAGGAGCAGTACAGTCGGCTCAGCAGTGGCACCCACTATAACAGGTAACAGGCACGAGCTTTCCTGGGTGAGCCAACAGGGTGCCTGGCTGCCCCACGCTCCGTAGGTGCGCTTCCTGAGGTGCCTCGGGGTGATGGGGTTTGGCTATTGTTCCGGAGGATCTGGCTAAGTCGGGCTTTGCTAGTCTGCAAACCCCGCTGTTCTGGTGTAGGCTTGTAGTCCAACCATGCTTCTTTGTCATTCGACCAACGGCAAGGGTCGGGGCAATCCCTGCACAAGG